TAACATTTAATGGATGATTTAATAACACGAAGAAATTCAAAAATAAATAATTCTCCACGAAGAAATTCAAAAATAAATGCTTAAATATTCAATTCTGCATGCTATTCAAAAATTTCACGCTTTATTCTGTGATTCGAAGTCTAGCCCACCAGTATAACAGACAGCCTTTGTCATCCGATTGAGGCTGCGGAGTCTGATTATCCATGCGAGTCTTTAATGCGCATTCGTATTTTAAATGTTTGCTTTGTCTCATTTGCATACTTTGAGTGTTAATAAAAGTGAAACTTTAGAGTTACACTTTTGTCAGTTTCAAATCACTCACTCCAGTATCAAATATAAGAATAGTCAAAAGATCAACCTTAGACTAAGATTGGTTTTGTACAAAATTTGTATACATTTTAAAAGAGATCGACATAGAATCGCTGCTGTTCAAGATCCTAACGTCTGACTGAAGTAGACGAAACAGAGTAAATAAATGAAACCAATTACAAAACAAAAAGTGGGAGCAAATGCAGTACTGTTCTGTTATCGGGATCGGATTCAGAAATGTATGAACGTGTGTATATATGTGCATTTATGCGTATATGTATATAAACACATACATTCGTACTTACACATATACATGCATACATGAACACATACATGCATACATACATACGTTTCTGAAATCGATCCTGATAACAGAACAGTACCCCAAGTATCATAACTTCATCTATGGCAGGGCTTCTTAAACTTTTTTCAGTTGCGACCTCTTTTTATCCATGAGATTTTTTTTGTGTTTCCAAGATCATAAATTTTGTGGGACCCCCTTAAGCATTGCGCAAATCCGACACACGCGGACTTGGGGATGGTGACCCACAGTTTAAGAAACTCTGATCTATGGCATAAATAAAATGTAGCTCAAAGAAAAAGAAAATTAGCAAGGTTTGAACTTGTAAGGATTTTAAGTTTTATTAACATTTATTTTATTTTAAAACTTTACTGTCCTCTCTTATTTGCCATTTCGGGCCAGAATAAATGCGAATAGGTTTGGTTATGCAAATAGAGCTTGCAAACTGTTAAATATATAAGTTGTGGCTTTTAGCCAAGAAAGTGTTAGAGAGAGAGACTTCTCGCTACCTTACCTCACGCGCGCTTTTCAGTAAATTCTTGTCTGCTTTTGAAGTTAGAACTTATTTCTCTTTGATACTTGAAAACGTATTGCAGTTTCCCGCAATCTGCTCACTACATACGTAAAGTTTAAAAGGCCAATCTTCGCGTTACTAGTCTTTGTAAAATATCCGAGTTTAGTTTTTATTTAATTAAGTAGTTTTAGCTTTTATTTTTACGTTTCAGACCATAAGTATTGGTCTTTGTATCCCGAAGTGCGGGAACGGCTGTAAACTGTGAGAGATAAAGGGTAATTAAACCCTTCCCATTTGTGTCGTATCTTTTACCCCACACACACACACTTGCACGAACATAGTTTGAAGTATATTCCTTGTTCTTACTCAGGACAACAGTTATGTTTGCAAAGGCGATTAGAAGAAATAGAAGTCCTGTTAAACTTTTTTGTGATAGAGCGTTTGTAATTAAAATTATTAACTAATGTTGAATGATATTGTAGAGTACCCCACTTTGGAATTCTAAGTTAATGTTGGAAGTGAGGAATCTAAGAACTGATAAGCGAATAATCGCTTGCGTTCGGTGACAAGAAACAACAAGATAGAAGGGTAACTAACCCTTTATTATTCCAATAAGATTTAACAAAACTCCGCCTGGGAGTGTACAAGCAAAGCCCGCACTTGGACTTGAACTAAAAAGACTAAGAATTAAACTAAAGATTAACTAAAGAAGTATAGCCGAAGCTATCAAGGTTCAATTTGAGTTGGCCCCTTAACTTATTTTACTACGAAGCTTAGCAAGGGCCTGAGTACGGCCGAGCGTAATAACAGCTTTGAGAGAGAGAGTGGCCAAAAAGGCAGACGCGCGTAAATCAGAAACTCTGATTCTCTCTGACTCAGTAAGTAACTTCGTGGTTTAAATACCGCTCCTCCTCATTAAATATTCAGCAAATTCCAAAACTACGTTCTGGCCGGAAGTAGTAAGTTGAAGTTAAGAATTTGACAGAAAAAGGAACTTTAACTTAAAATTTAAATGTTAATAAAATTAACATAATTCTTACAATATTTTGCGGAATGATATCCTCAAGGAACTTTTAATGTCTATCTCGACCCAAAGTATGTTATATCACACTGATAAAGCATGTTATACTTTCATCAAGAAATAAAATGTGATGAAAGCATAACATGTTTTATGTGTTATATAACATACTTTGGGTATTCTAGAACATACTTTGGGTATGCTAGTTTAGTATTCTACAACTGAACAAAATTTCATTAATAAGGGAGAAAACTTGAAAAATTATCTTAGACTGAAACTGAGAAGGGGAACAGGATTTTAACTGACAGACGAGGAAAATGGGCTGACAAGGGGATTATTGCAGTTGTTTTTAATGGAGAAATATTCGCGTTGAAGAAAATCTGAAAATCTTTATCACTAAAATAGAAGGAGAAACCGTTCTTTACAGCAACAGCTTTCAAAGAATAGAGTTCTTAAGCAAGACAGCAACATAAATAAAACTATTGTTAGTTTAAAGTGAATTTTCGCATAATTTAATCACGTTTACTTTCATATACATGTTTAATATGCAAATCTGTAATATTTCCCACTTTTTTAATTTTGGAAATGAGTCTATTGGTAGTTGTTCATATTTGTAGAGTAGCCTTAACTCCTGAGTAATAATGCCTTTTTTCTTTAAGGGTTGTACAAAAACTAAAAACATAATGTGCATTAATATTTTATATAAAGTCATCTTATGAAAATTAAGAAATAACATTTGAAACAAAAGAATGACTATTGAAGCTGGATACTACCTCTTTTCTGTTGTAAAACTCAAAGTCTTTCTTTCTTCGCAATTCCATAGTTGTTTTTAATTATGTTCGTCATTTTTATTATTTTTTGCAGTCTTACGTAGTTCCGTCAAATGATGGCCTATCAGGACGCCCTGAAGTATCTTCCCGAGAAGGAAAAACCAGCATCAGATCCGCTTATATTCAAAGTTTTGCCATCGAATCCAAAAATGCCTATCAAAATACGAGTAGATGGAGCCGGATAGTTCAGACTTTCCTCTCTACAAGTACGCTGCATGGTGTCAGTCATCTCAGGCCTCCATGTTCCAGGAGACAGAAGTGTTTTTGGTTGTTTGCCATCTTGTCTTGTGGAACCTTTTTCCTAGTTCATGCATCCGTTTTGGTGTACAACGCTCTTACAAGGTTAGATTTTTCTATTTCATTCGAATAGACAGCTGCAGATGACTCAAGAAGTAAACTAAGCTCAAACAATCCTTTTTCTCTATTGTACTGCACCAATAAATGTCTTGGTGAATGCAATATTGTGTAAAACATGAGGAATATTTAGAAGAACTTGGTTTCGGCAAGGATGATAGTTATGTGTAAAAATTTCTATTTCGTTATACCAATAGATATGTCTAATTAACCTCTAATTTGTCATTTATATTGCGTTTTTTACAAGTTTTTGCAGTTTTTATTCTCGAAAGAGTTTTGAATATATGAACAATCTTAGATATTATGAGTAAATCACGAAAATGTTTGATTCTTTAAAACATATTTTGCATTCTTTGAAGAAATTAAAGACAGAAGGCTTCTTAAGTAACATTTACTAAGCTAAGTAACAGAAACGTTTGCATCCAAAACAGTATTAAAAGGCACTTCCTCGGACATCTAATGATGTCAGTACAGAACATAAAAGGAAATTTCTTAGGCATGAGTTCGTATACTAAGATTAAGTTACATTGTGAATGCATGTTTCAGATTTTAAGGTAATGCCAAATTAATAGTTTTGCCAAAATTTCAAGCAATCCTAATTTTCGTTAAAAAATGTAAACCTGATCAAACTGTATTAGACAAGACTGGAAGGACTAGAAACAAACAAAATACAATTACGCACTAAAGTTCTTAATTATTGTATGATTTCTGATATTCCATTATAACTCTGAGAACCGAGAATGAATGAAGCTCGAATGAGATTTTCGGTAGCTTAAAGAAAACGCAATTCTGCCATATGTCAATAGATCCAGATTTCTAGTTGTGGTCGCTTTATAGTGTAATTCAATGAAGCAAAGCTTTCGAATTTAGAAAGATATCGTCTTATCGACATTGCAGTATAGAACAGGAACGTCCCACTTCAGATTAAAAGCTGAGATTAGTAGGATACACAGCCCATATAAAACTAAAAAATAACAATGAAAATTACAGTAAAACTCAAGGAGTAAAATTTTAAACTTGATATTATGCACTGTGGTCACTGAAAAAGAAATATTCTTTTATCCTAACCGTTCCAATAAAACGTTATTGAATAGCCAGGATTTTATGACATTTACATCTGTTAACTATTCTAAGCTAATTTCCTTATAAATTATGTTGACGGCCCATTTCCTTTTTTTACTTCAGTAAACAGATATTCCAATGACCAGAAATGAAACTTATAATATCAAATACTTTTAAGCTAAAATGTGCAGCCTATTTTGAGCAAAAATATAGGATACTCAACAGTTCTTAATAATTTAGAATAGAGGAGAAAAGGCGGGTTTAATGAAAATGCTCTTACTAACTCATTCAAGCGATGACAACCTTGATCAAATAAGAAATGGATGTTGGGAATAGTAGAACAATTAATCAACAAAGTTAATACGTGCTAATCATAAATCTTCTTTGCAATTTTTAAATTATTACATTTGCAATAAACAGTTTCGCCAGTTCATTCTTTAAAGTAAAAACATGTTCAATAAATCCAAGAATTCCGTACTACAAGTTGTTTCCTCATTAAATGAAACTTCTTTTGATATTAATATTTCGCTACCAAAATTCAAATTTACTTTGAAAAGGCATTTATAAAGATTTATGAAGGCATTAAAATAAAATTTCAGTTGTGTCCGTAAGATGTTTGCTTTTACTATAGATGGTAAGATCTTATTGGAATATCATTTGTTTCTGTTAAACCTGCGTAAATGTTGTATTATAGATGATGACAATTCTTAAAAATAACCAGCCTATAAAGACAAGTCCGAAATGATACCTTGAATGAAAAAGAAAATTTTTGAGACAGTTTCATATATTATCACATTTTTAATTTTTTTCTTTTTTCTTCAGTTTTTTTTAAGTTCAGTGTTATCAGTTATTCCAATATGAAGGCTCATATAAAAAGGCTTGGTGGGCCCAAGATCCTGTACGATGCATTGCACACTGATTGTTTTTTTTCTCTAAATATGTAACTGATTAAGATACAATAACACGCCGAACAAATATTAATATAGAAGTCAAATAACAAAAATGTAACTGATATTTCATATTTTCAACTAAATTGGATAGATTACTATAAATTTTATGTTAATATAATGAATAATTTTATATTTCTGAAAACTTTTGTTTATGCCAGTTAGAGATTAAGAGAGTTGTTTCGTGTTTTTATTTACTTGGTTATGTACACTGCGAAAAAAAGAGGAAGGGACAGTTCTGTATCTCTCGTTCTACTGGGCCGATTGACGAAATTTAAATTGCGTTTTCCATGGCTCGAGTCCACCAGCGGCCGAGCGGTAACGTCGTTGAACACTGGTAGTTCGGTCCGAGGTTCGAATCCCGCGAACGGGCTGGCTGCATGGGTGTTTTTGTGGTTTTCCCATGTGTAACGTGTATACGAGCCAGTTTCCCTTAAAAAGTCCTCCACGAAGGCATCCCCCTTTAAAGCAGATAGCCCTCGAGTGCTTTGCCGTAATCTAATAAACCTAAACCTAACCATGGCTCGAACGTGTGACTTAGGATATATATTAGATTTATTTATAGCTTTGTTCTAATATAGGTATTTTGACACAAAACAAGACTTTTCTGAAATAACATACCAATGTTTTTGCATGACATGAAAAACGTACCTCAATCGGCTTAGTAGCAACGGGAGATGTAGAACTGTCTTCCCCCCCCCCCCGCAGTGTACCTCCAGCTCATGAATTTAGCATAAATACTTGAGTTCGACCTAAAAAAAAGTGGTGTATGTGCTGCCCTTAGATGTGAGTAGAGATATGGATGTCAAATCTTTTGTATATTCTGTGAAAATATGTTCAGAGCCGTCTCGCGCGTAAAAAATATACCAAAGGTCGCACTACTCGCTAAAGCTATTTTAAGAGCCCCATAAAAAGTTAATGTTTATTAACGAGAACAGTATTCATATATAACATTTTCTTTTCTAACCCATGCGATATGTACTGGTAGAAAACGCTGAACATAAAATTTTTAATGTGAATATTTAGATTTGAGAATTTTCATGTTATTGGAACCTCGACAGGTAGCACTATGGAATCGAGTTATCGTGACTGAAGTGAAATTTCAAGGTTCGCGCAAACAAGAGCACAATAAAATTCAACTTAAATTTTTAATGTCTTTAATTTAGAATTAACAAAACAAATTACAAGTGATAATGTGCTTGACTAAACATTAAGTTCACGATAAAAAGTTCATTGCTTAATTTTTTTACAAAAGGAAGCATATTCTATCTAATTTCAACATGCTAAACTTCCAACCGTAGCTCAGAGTTCTGCACAGGACTTCTCCGGAATCAGCTATACAGACCAGGATTAAACAGCAGTAATCCAACAGTAAATATTTGCGCGCGGGTCCATTATCGAGCTCGCTCCGCTGCACTTAGGCCCAGATTCGGACTAACAGCGGATAATATGCAACTTCGCACGATTCCAATTAACCTACTTATACTCCCATGTTTGTCTAAAAAAATCTATATAATCATCTGGAAAGAATGAGTTGCGTGACAAGTGAGAAGTGATAGTAAAGATGCAAATTAAAAACCAGCTTATTAGTTAAAATAAACTAAATTGTCATAAATATTTCAATAAAAATTAAAAGTATTCAAAAAACGTGATTATGTTTTAAAAACATTTATTTCATTTTTTAAGAAGGAAAGGCTGTAAAATGGCTTGTTCTGCTACATAAACTTTGATTTTGTCGCAATTTCTGAGGCTTAATGTAGACTCTTTGGACTTCTATGTGCAGTATTTATCGTTGCACTAGCTTTCTTAAATCACGATGGCTCATGAACGCGTAATATGCATATCAAAATATGTATTTCGTTTTTAAAAATTCTACAAAATTAATTATGAAAATTATGAAGGTAATTGGAAACCCAAAGTTTACTGTTTATTATTACCTAAGCAACAATGATAGAAGAAAGTCTTAAAAAATGGAACCCAAACAAATCTCTTATTTCTCGGTACCAATTTAGTTTGTAGGAAGTTGTCAAAAATAAGTCATGATACCAATGCAGTACCATACATTGCTTTGGAATGTGGGAAAACAACATTCTGGAGGTCTTTTGTAACTAACAGGAGCTAAACTTGTAGCGAAATTAGCTTTTCTTAAAGCGCGTGGATTTGCTTAACAAAGTGAGACCATGATAATATAATTTTACAAACCAATGAGTAGAAAGTTTATTTGGTAATAAGTAGTTTAAACTGAATGTGCTAGATGATTGGTTTCATTATTCTCACAGGCTAAGAAAAGAAGGAAACATGAACTTAAACCTAAAATCTAACCCTCTTACACATGAACAAACCATGAACATGAAACCAAACGTCATTCCGATAAAAATTCATTGACGGTTTGGGAATGCCTTCTTTTAATAGGATTAGAAATAAATTAGATATCAAATCAGAGAAATATCACGAAATGTTAAAGAACACATTTCAGAAAATTTCCTAAGAATGGATGTGGATTTCTAAAATTCATTATACTGAGTATTTGATTGCAGCTCTGTACATTTCATTTGTAAGTCAGTTGAGAGTATACTTAAATGAGTGAGTGAGTGGGGTTTTTGGCGCAAAACCAAACATGATTATGACGCGCCAAACACAAGGTGAGATGATCATATTTATGAAATTAAAATACAATAAATAAAAACAAGTGGACAAATGTACCAAATCCAGAGGATGCAGTCATATAAAAACAAGGTAAAAGCAGACATTAAAATCCAAGACACAAACCTCAAAACAGATTACTTTAAGTAATAAAAACCAGTCTCTTTTAAATAATAAATTACAATTGGCCTCTCTTCCGATTAAACGGTCGAGAGGTAAGTCACAGGTATTAAAATATTTCTGACCAAGATTGTTAAAACATGTACACTCAATACACTCAATTAAAATATGACGGACAGATAAAGACCAACATTACAATTTTAAAACAAACAGGCTCATTCTCAGCTTTTAAAAGGATAGTTATGTGTGTCACTCTAGTGTGACCAATTCTGAGGCGAGTCAAAAGAACTTCCTCCTTACGATTTTTGGTAGAACTCCCAATGCTCAATTCTAGGCTTTACACTGTTTTAACTTGTTTTTGAAGCTGAACATCCCAAATTTGCTGCCATTTTTTTTTCGGAACTTTCCCTTTGATGACACAGCAGATATCTCTAAAAGGGATAAGGCGACTAGACAGTTCAACAAGTAGATTTTGGCTGCGCGATATCTGCAAGCTCATTTCCCTTTATTCTAGCATGTCCAGGGAACCCAGCAGTACAGGACTTTCATATCCTCGAATCGTTAAGTTTATATGAATTCAACTTGAGTGCAACATCCACTACCACAGGATTCTGAGTGTTGGGAAAAGCTTCCAAAAATTTCAAGAGCACTATACGAGTCTGTATAAATTATGAACTTTTTTGTGGCAGAGCTTCGAGATGTACAGAAGACCATAATATATTGCAGTTAGTTCAGATGTTAGGACTGAGAAAGCATGGTGCAGGCATCTGCCCTCTATGTAATCTTCAAATTACAAATGCCATCCCGAACATGAATCATTTGACTTTGATCCATCTGCATATATCGGATAATAACTGCTATATTTACTGCCTGTGCTCAGCAAAGAGTTGTCTGTAAACGATCTCGTTAGTGCTTTGCCTTCACGTGATGGTTTGAAAACATCAAGAAGCTGAATTCCGTGCATTTTCCCAAGGTGGAATTTCAAAATTCTGCACTTGCTTGGGGGCCGCATATCAGAGAGGGAATGTTCCTCAATGACAGGGCGAACTCTTAAAGGAAAGGTAGGAACACAGGATGGACGCGTTTCAAATAAAACGTTACACGCATCATCGAGTAAGCACAGCTTATTGGGATGTTCAGGTTGGGATAGAATATTAAAATATTGCAAGAGGGACTATTTGCTCACGCCTCAGATAAAGTGACGGTTCGTTACAGTCAACGTACAGGCTCTGGACGGGAGAGGTCCTGAAAGCTCCTGAACAAATGCGCAGAGCTTGATGGTGAACAGGATCCAGTTTTAACAATACTGATTCCCGAGCGGATCCATAAACAATTGAGCCATAGTCCAGTTTAGAGCGGACGAGAGCTCTGTAAATGCGAAGCATGGAGCAACGCTCTGCACCTCAGGAGGTGTTCGCCAACACTTTTAAAATATTTAGTGTTTTTAGACACTTCTTTCTCAGGTTTAAAACATGAGAAAGGAAAGCCAATTTTCGGTCGAACGTCACTCCTAAAAATTTTACTTCGGGCGTAACTGGAATAATTGTACCATTAAGATATAACTCAGGCACAGGATGGAGACCTCGCTTCCTACAAAAGTGAACACACACAGTTTTCTGTTTGGCAAAAGTAAATCCCTGTTTGTTTGACCATTCTTGGATCTTATTCAGAGCCATCTGCAATTGCCTCTGTACGTATCTCATGTCTGCCGCTCGACAGCTAATCTGCAGATCATCAACATATAGAGATCCCAAGATGGTGGGAGGAAGTTCTTTTAGTACAGAATTTAATTTTAAACTAAACAGGGTTACACTGAGCACACAGCCTTGAGGCACACCCTCTTCCTGTTCAAAAACATCCGAAAAAACAGAGCCAGTTCTTACTTGAAAAGTTCTAGTGTTCAAGAAATTTTGAATTAAAAATT